ACTAAGCAAGTTGTGTTTTGCTACTGCTACTGCTGCTTTGCTTTTTTAAGGACTTGAAATGAAGCCTGGTGAGAGATGCTGCTCCTTTGATGGAGATGCTGACCGAATAGTCTACTACTACACTGATGCTGCTGGCCATTTTCACCTTCTTGATGGTGACAAAATAGCAACCCTAATCAGCACTTTCCTCAAAGAACTTCTGGTCAAGGTATTTGAATTCCTTTAGGATTAGGGAGTTACTGTCTTTTACTGTGTGACTAAACACTGGCTAGAATCCCGATAGTGTACTATGTTTGTGTCATGTTCAGTTATGTTAAGATATTCCACTTTTATCCAGGCTACATAGTGGCTCATCGTTGTGGTGATCATCTAGCAAAGATGGTTGGCCTGCAAAATTGCCTGGGCCACCATCTTTGCTGCTGTTAATAAGTGGTTCAGAGGGCTGTAAATCCTTACTTCACATGTAAAATTAAATAATTAGTTTTCTACCTATTGGGCAAGATTACAATATTTGTTTCATTTATTGCACATTGATGAGTTTTTGCACTCTGTGATTTTAAATTTGAAAACACTTGTTCGTCCAAATGTATATACACTTGTCTCTCACCGTTTGCGGACTTGCCATTTGTGTCCTTTGGTCTTTGGCAGATGGAGAGGGCTGAGGGACAAAATAGTGTGCGCGCCCACTCATGGCATGCAGCCATTATATTCTATGGGACTTTAGTATTTGCGGTATTTCCGATTTGCTGGGGGAACGGGAGGGATGAGTGTATAGCTTGATGTTTTTGGTGTGAAAACTAAGCTTTTTCTGCAGCCAGTTTTTTCACATACACAAAAATCTGAAGTCACAAAGATCTCACAGTAGTAGACCATTTTCACTTCTTCCGTGAGGTGTATGAATTTCCCAAAAGCAAAGAGGTGTAATTAATACTATAAATCAGAAGACAGCTCATCACATCTTTGACAAACTAACTTCCAAAGAGTCAGATCTAAATCTGCTTGTACATGTTTACTTATAAGGAAGTCTATAATTAATTACACATTTGTTTTTCTTTAGGGTCACTTAGATTGCTAAGGTTGTTGTACAGTTATGATTAATTTTTAAAAATCAGAAGAGAAAGAAAATAAAGCAAGCACTCAAACCATAAAGTTGCTTAAGGATAAATTACATTTAAGTAGCTGCAAAAAAATTCTTCAAGCTTTGTGGAATCAGCATGACAATAATAGGGCAAGCCAGATCCTGAATTAATGGCAGCTGATGACAGTTGGCAGCACTAGGTATGCTCTCACTGTCTGCAAATAACAATTATTATTGCTATTTTTAAATTTCAGGCTATATATCTAGAGATGTGAACATTCTTAGAGGTTAAGTGGAGTGCATTTTCTGCCCCATTGTGAAATGTGGAATATTTGTAAATTGAAATATATAAACTTTGAAAGCAGAGCTTTTGATTGCATGTGGTGGATTGCACTGTGGGGAGTAGACATATGTCTCATTGTGAAAACTGCATTTTTCTGTTCCTTCAGGCTGGGCAAACTCTAACATTTGCAGTAGTACAAACAGCCTACGCCAATGGGAGCTCTACGTGTTATTTGGAAGAAACCATGAAGGTATTATATTGTTGCATACTGCCACATTAAACACCTTTGTGCTGAGAAGTCAGTTAAAAACATCCCAAACCTTATTATTAAATCCTGATTAAAATTGCTGGGATGGGACATATATAATGCGCAAATAAATCTTTTAGTAGCAAGTCTCATAGTCAGTGTCCTAGCCAGAGGATAAGGGAGGCTAGCAAATATTATTTCCCTCCCATAATAATTCATTTGTTAAAAATCATGATGGATTTTATCTAGTGCTGCCCTCATAGTCAGAATACTGGGCCCCATGGATATTGATGTTCCAAAGTAACCAAACTTGTGTGAATGGTAATATTTTTGGATACATTTTCCTTTGGGCTGGTGTGCTGTGATCATAACTTTTATGGCCAAGTATGAGAGAGCCAAGTTTGGTGTGCGTGGGACAGCTTGTCTTTTGGCATTGGACAGCTTGTAGCTATATAGACTCTTAGGAAAGGTAGGGTCTCAAACATTCAGCATCCTACATAGACCATTCTGCAGCCTGCTGTTTTGTAGTACAGTACGACCCCTGTATCCACAGGGGATATGTTCTCAGACTTACTGCAGTTTGCAAAAATCATGAATAATGGCAAACCCTATGTTTCTGATGGAAGGTGACCATGGAGTCACACTGGAAGACCTTCAGATCCCTAAAGATATCTGGAGATACCTAGATGTCCATTAGCATGACTATGGACATGGGTAAACAAAACTGCAGTTACTGAACTTGTGGATACAGGAGGTCATACTTTTTAATGAAAGGTGTTTTGCCAGATGATACAGAGGGACTGTCCAGTACCATTGGCAAAATACATGGTATTGCTATGATTGCTACAAAAATACACTTTGAGGCAGAATTTGGAAAAGGTCCCTTTTTGATGTCAACTTCCAGAACTCCATAGCTCCCATGCCATCCCAAAAAGGAACTGTTTCAAGGCTTTAGCCACCAGAGGAGTTTTCTTGCTTGACTCTGTCACCAAGAACAATGGAAACTTTTCTGTTGTTCTTCTTGGATGTCTTTCTAGAAATTTTGATCATGTCTTTTGGGACAGCACTCACACCACTATAAGGTGTGTATTCTTTATAGCAATAGCAAATACATTTCTGTATCACTTATCGGTGAACTAGTACTCCCTAAGTGGCTTAAAACATGTAAGCCAATTGCCCCCAACAAGCTGGGTACTTATTTTACTGACCTACAAAAGGATGGAAGACTGAGTGGACCTTGGAGTCCTACCTAGGATCAAACTCACAATTTTGTGGCTGCAGCACTGGCATTTAACCACTGTATCATCAGGGCACCCTTTGTCTGAGTAAATCTTCCCTTCCATTAAGAAAAAGCATCCCTACATAGCATAAATACAGTTGATGTTGGTCCTGGGTTCCTTGCTCTCAGTATTGATGCTGGTTTCTGAGGGCAGAACTGTAGACTCCACCCTTAGACTGTGTGGTCTTCTTTTCCAGGTGCCTGTCCACTGTGCCAAGACAGGAGTGAAACACTTGCACCACAAAGCTCAGGAGTTTGACATTGGAGTTTATTTTGAAGCAAATGGTCATGGCACAGTAAGTGTTCTAAAATATTTCTTAATTGCCCTTCACCAAAAAGATTCTAGGGAAGTGTGCCAGAGTGTGAATAAGGATATAAAGATTGAGTCTCCCTTATCCAGAATTCTGAAATCCAAAATACTCAAAAATCCAAAATTGCTGCCTGAGTGGCTGCAATGGTGACACCTTTGCTTTCTGATGATTCAGTATACACTAACTTTGTTTCATGCACAAAAGTATTTAAAACATTACCTTCAGGCTATGTGTATAAGGTCTACATGAAACATTAATAAATTTCATGTTTAGACTTGGTCTCATCTTCAAGATATCTCATAATGTGTATGCAAATATTTCAAAACACTTCTGGTCCCAGGCATTTCAGATAAGGGAGGCTCAACTTGTTATCATGAAAATTGGGCCCATGATATCTTTCTTTCTGTTTTCCACTTCATGCCCAAACTTGAAGGTCTAAGAATAAAATAAAGATGACTAAATTAAACAGTGCTGACATCCAGTGTCATACTGGTACATGCCCATAAGTCTGGTGGAACTCCCCTTCCTTTCTCATTGCAGTCTTATGCACTTCTCAAAACCTGTCTCCTCATCATTTCTCACACCGACGGAGCTGGTTTGGGGAGTGCTGCAGATGGGAAGGAGATCTGGTCACTCTTGCCAGCTTTTACCTGCTAACCCACTAAATCCTGGCCTTTGTACGTTATTTTACTCTGCTCCACCCTGCCAGTGTGAGCTTTACCAATGATTTCTATAAT